ATTGAAATTGATGATGAGGAACGTCTTCTAAATAATTACTCATGTTACAATCGACACTGCTGTGATTGTTACTTTTGCAACCACCGCCGCTTGTTTCGATTTTATACCCATTAAACTTACATGTAAACAATAAATTGAATTGATATATACCTTACTGCAAAAAAAGCTTGATATTCATATATTCATATATTCATATCACACAGTATCGTCGTATTACAAATTGTTGTGGAACGAGTTGCACTAAAATAATGGCGGGTAACAAAGTTTACAATCTAACCTTGATTTAACAAAAATAGGTGCTGCTACATTTGCACTTGCGAATGGCCACTCAATTTTTCGTCAATGACTTATGTCTGTTAACGGTATGCAACCGTGCATGCAGTTCAGCCTTTCGTCAATACATACAGCTATTGCGGTCAATGTTACAATTGACCCTCTGTTTCAACCGACACCACTCTCCCTACTACCTTACTATTGGGTTGGAGGAAAAGTTCTGTGATATTTTATTAGTTCAAAATTATCTATACATACAATATCTTCGTTAAAAATGACCAAAATTTAAATTTAAAAAAAGGATTTTAAAACTTGAAATCTCTACTTTTGAATGGTTACTATAGTTTTTACATTTATGAGTTTTATAATTTTTATATATATGTAGAAAACTACGAGCAGAAAAAAAGGAAAATTTTTTTTCACTTTGTAGGTCTGTCATGTGCCAAAAAAAATTGTGAAAATTTTTGACGATCTATATTGTGAAAGTTTTGCTTATAAAATCGTTTTTTGAAAATGTTTCTATGATTTTTTGTTCTTGAATTATTCGCAAGTAAAAAGGAACATTTTGACTTTGCTCATAATTCCATTAAAATCAGTAGTTCATCAGAGTTATGAGCAATCAAAATCAGAATGTTCTTTTATTTAATCCGCGTGTAATTTGGTAACAAAAAGTCGTAGGAACATTTTTTAAAAACGAATTTTTAGGAAAAGCTAAGCTTTTACATCAGATAGTCGAAAATTCGCAACAAGTATATAATTTTGAGCTAATAAAATTCCACAGAACTTTTTTCCCAAATCACTACATTTTTGAAGTTTAATATTTAAATACTACATTCAAATTCAGAGATATCAAGAATCTTCTAACCCTTAGCGGCCACACCTCAGCCCGGCCACATCGCGGCCACACCGGAGTACATAGCTAAAAAAATTAGTTGTACAAGATATATGGGTATTTTAAGATTTCTAATCGATTGTTTCATGTTTGTTGAATAGTTCTTCAACATTTCTAATGATTTATATTAGTCAATTTATAGATGGCGTTCTAAAAATTGGTCATATATGTGAAAATTCGGCAAAAATAACTTTTTTCGGAAAAAAATTCATTACTCCGCCATTTTTCAATATTAAGGGTTAAAATTTTAGGATTGTACGCACAAGATACTACCATAAAAAAATAACAGTATACGCCGATCTTTCAAAAAGTATATTTATTTTGCAAAATTACGGTTGAGGGAAAAATGAAAACGTCGAGAAAACGAACGCTCAAAGCGCCGCCATGCGATTTTTCGGCTTCCTATGTAATGGAGTCACATCTCACACGTGTCTACTAGTGACAGATGTCGATACTTGTATCAATTTCAAATGTTTTAGATCTCTAATTTCACTTTTCCTAAGCCTTGGGGTACAAAGTCACCCCGTGTGACCGCTAAGAGCTAAAATCGAGTTTCACAATAATCAGATTTTTAAATTTAGATTTTAGACTTCTAGAACCTGATTAATCAAATTCAGCGACACTGAAAACCCTTGGAAAGCAAGATCTTTCATAATATTGTTAGAAACAGGATTGTTAGCGCAAAAGAAAAAAAATTTACCTGACTTTTCCCGTCACTTTTTCAAAAAAATTCCCTGACTAAAACTTGAAAGATTCTATAAATAAAATCAAAGAAGAATATTAAAATATTTTATTTTATAAATAGTATAATAAAAAATATTTATACTCAAAGAATTATTTATCTTAAAGAACAAGTTATAAATATAAATAATAACACGATACGACTTGCAGTGAGTGTGTTGCAAATATTAACCAGGTAAAAAATTTTTCATACATGAATATGTATAAATATGTATAAACATACACAAATATTCATAAACATGTGCAATCATATATGAAATATGTCCATACATGTTTATACATCCTTCTTTCTTTTGTAAAATTATTTTTCAGTGTAATAGAAATAATAATAATAATGTGAAAACATAAAAAATAATTAAAAGGATAATTTTCGCAGTATTCGTTTTAGAAAAAAAAAAGTTTGAAGAAATATTTAAAAAAATTGCTCATACACAATTAAACATAATTTTGTATATAATTATACATAAGGAATTTTTTTACATTTCTTTAAACTTGATTTTTTCTAAAACAAATAGTGTGAAAATTAATCTTTTAATTATTTTTAATGTTTTCACATTACTATTAATATTTCTATTACACTAAAAAGTAATTTTTATTTTACAAAAGGAAGAGGGATGTATGAACATGTCTGGACATATTTCATATATGATTATGCATATGTTTATGAATATTTATCTATGTTTATACATATTTATACATATTTATGCATGAAAAATTTTTTATCAGGAAGTGGAACATACGACTACTAATAGTTTTCTGCAAATTGTTCATTGCAAAATTAAAAATAAAGAAAAATATTTGCATTGCCTCTTTGAAAAATTAAAAAAATCCGATTTCATAATTTTTGAAGAAGTAGAGTTTAAACTTAGAATTTTACAGTAATTTAATTTAATTTTAAGTTAATAAATTCCTTGATAATTTCTCTAATTTTTCTCGGTTTTCCCATTTTCCCTAATCACTTTTTAATTTCACTAACCATTCCCGGTTTTCCCTGACTTCCCTGATCGCTAATAACTCTATTAGAAAGCTCCAATCCTCGAAAAATTAACTGATAGACCTTTAATTAAAAATAATTTTATTAATTCAACGACAGTATTAATGAAACGAATATAATATATGTTCCTGTTTTAATAAAATATTATTTGTTTCATTAATATTGTCATTGAATTAACTTATTTTCAAGTGGATTGCTGTTGACTAATGCTGTTATCACAATATTATATTTTTCCGTTTATCATTACAGAGAAAGACTAAAAAATACACGCGTGTTCACAAAGCACGAGTTTTAGGGGCTCCGCACAATAAAAGGAACAGGGACCGAGAACAGAGAATAAGAATTTCGACCTATCAGAAACTGTGTACTCGTATTCCATAATACATGATTTTTGATAGGTTGAAATTCTTATTCTGTTTTCTGTTCCCTGTTCCTTTTATTGTGCACAGCCCCTTACGCGAGTTACTTAAGTCACATGGTCCTCACATGTTAATTGTGGAGCGCTTTCCATTGATAATGACTAATATCAATGCATATTATTTATTATTGCGTCACTGTTTACATCACGTTTAATTTAATTGTATTTGTTGTTTCTCAATCTTCTTCAAGTCGTTGACGAAGTCAACATATATTTCATAAGTAAAAAGAATAAATATATCAATCATAAGGCTTTTTATCTTTATATACAGGATGTTTGATAAGTAACGATAAAACTTTCGTATAAGAATAGAGCGAAAATCTCTGAATACTGATTTTCAATAATTTTTTACTCAAATATTATCAACTTTACAGGAAAACAGCAAGACAAAAATTGTTTATTTTCTTCTCATAGAATTCTAAGAATTTGTTTATAATTTTTTATCAATTTCATAGTACTGCATTTTCATATATGTGTATATATTATATTGGCAACTATTTTTACTAACAGAAAATACGGTACTAAAAAATTCTGAAAAAATTCTCAGAACTCTAGTAGAAAAAATAAATTTTTGTCACTTGTAAAGTTGATAGTATTTGAGTAAAAAATTATTGAAAACCTATATTCGGCGATTTTTAGTAATTGATATCTTGTTAACTATTATAAAAATTGTAAAATGATAGAGGATTTTCTGACTCAAATCAGTTTAGTTCGCCCTATTTTATTGCAAGTTTTATCGTTATTTACCAAACACCCTGTATAATAAATGCAGTTTAAGACGTGGAGATAATCTAGCTGTTTAATAAAATCGTGACCTGAATAAACTTCCGTTTGAGAATTGTTACATCGAAAATTTTTGAACGCGGATAGAAATTCATTTAAGAATGTTTTATACATACTTTCAAAATGATAAAATTATGAAAAAATTACAGATTATTCTAAATCATATTTAAAAATGATATGACAAATTTGGTGATGGTTTACTATCTGGATCGTAAATTATTTTATCAATAGTATTTTTTAAATCTGTGCTCTAATAAAATGTATTATAAAATAAATGACAAAAATCTCAATTTTTTTATAGTACATAATGTATTCAAGATTATTTATATATAGAGTTACATTACGATGCATAAACTAGTTGCCCAGTAAATAAATATTTTATTCTATATCTTTGTAATTAATCAGTGAATTGCAATAAAACTTTGTACAAGTTTTATTGTGAATATTTAAAGAACTTATTTAAAAAATTTTAATTTTTTTATCATTTAAAAATTTTAATTTTTAAGAATAAAAATAATAACAAATAAAATAAACAAACGATAAAAATGTTATTAAATAAAATATGTAATCTTATTCATACAACTTTCATATGTATGTAGTTTATTTGAAGTGTAAGTATTAAACACATTTTCACACACACACACACACAAAATTTAATTTTCTTTGCAGGGACTGTATGTGCTATATATCCTTAAACGCGATTTCCTGCTAAAACGATTTGAGCAACAAAATTCGCTCTAAAGCAAATTAAGAACAAAAAATAACACTAAATTTTTTACTGGTCCAAACTTGGTTGGGAGAGGATCCAGCTAGGTTAATGGAGATGATATAGAAAGAGTTCTTTTTCCCCTTTTTTATATACATATATATTATATTTTCAAGTAGATCGCTGTTGGCTAATGCTGTTATCACAATATTATATTTTTCCGTTCATCATTACGGAGAAAGACTAAAAAATACGCGCGTGTTCACAAAGCACGAGTTTTACGAGTTATACATATATATTAGTTGCTTTCTATTTACACCGATTCTCTGATAATTCTCACTTGTGACGTCATAACTCAGTTGAATGCGCGTTCCTGTTGCATTTTGACAAGTGAGACTTAACTGAGTTTTTGCCTATAATCTGCATAAGATCGAGACCGTGTGCATTAATGAGTCTCGTAAACTCACTTTAAATGTAAAGTTATGAAAACCTGTGTTGTCATGTGATAACTTTTTACCAAAGTAAGCAAATAATGACATCATTAATCTGAGTATAAAATACTCAGCTCACTTCAGACTCAGTTTCACTTGTGTAAATGGAAAGCAACTATTATATAGATTCGAGTCTCGTTACTTCGTCTCTTTAGTCTTTGACTGTTGTTTGATGCGGTAATCTGACAGAGCAGCCTTAATTGCGTCCTCGGCAAGCACTGCAATTTGCGAAAAAATTATAACTGATAAAACTGATTACTAATTGTACTGATATTTGTAAGATCACAATTTGTAAGATCCTGATACTTAATATTTGATTTTTACATTTTCTATTGGAATACATATTTGTCTTATCTCAGAAAATATTGCTATAATACTCTAATTTAAAATTAATAAAACAAAATTTTTAGTAGGTATGTTTACTTACTCGAACAGTGTAGCTTGACAGGTGGAAGGCAAAGCTCTTTTGCAATATCAGTATTTTTCAATGCCAATGCTTCGTCCACCTGAAAAATTTAATAGCAAATTAAAATTTCTATATTTCAATACATTTTACAGTATATAGTTACAACTCGAACATGAAGTAAATACTTGGACAAAATTTAAGGGAGCTTATAAAAGGTATATTATTCATCACGAGTACTGAAATTTATTGTTCATGTTACATATACCATAGAATTTCAGTGAATAACGGAATACAACCAATGATAACACTATGATTTGCATGTTTAAAGTTATAGCCATATAAAATATGCTTCAATATATTACATGTTCAAAGAATAATTATAATTTAGCATAATTAAGAATTAATCATAGTAAATTATAAATTAAAAAATCTCACAGTTTTTCCTTTAACCCATTCCGTTGCTAAAGAACTTGAAGCAATAGCTGAACCACAACCAAAAGTCTTGAATTTTGCATCAATTATCTTGCCATCTTTATCGACCTTGATCTGAAGTTTCATCACATCACCACAAGCCGGTGCTCCTACAAGACCTGTCCCAACTTGTTCATCATTCTTATCCAAGGAACCAACATTTCTCGGATTTTCGTAGTGATCTATTACCTGTTTAATTGTAAAATCAGAACATTTTTGTTTAAGACTTTCAGTTTATTAATATCATAATACAGATAAACATGTATATGCAACAATTAATGATTCATTAATAAAACCATAGTATACAAATATTGTATAAATTAATAAATAAAATTTGTATATCTTGTATAACATATTTTACATATATGTTCATATAATAAAATAATAACATATGATATTTTAGATAAAACAAATTTATTATTGTAAATAGAAGTCATTATGTGCACTAACTTTGAAAATGTAACTGATTGTGACATATATAATTTATGAATGTTTCCATCATAATGAGATATAAATAAAGTATCATGAAAAAGACAAAAATGCAATCTATGGCCATATTTTGATGTATACTGCCAGTATACTAAAAATCTATAGTTTACGTTACATATATTATAGATCTTCAGCAATGACAATGTATATATTGGAACATGAGACACGAAGTATATATTCATACTTTGTGTTACATGTATAATAAAAAAGATTACGCCATATTACGTCACACAACCAGTTTATGTTATGCAATAAAATTATGAACTATTTTAATAGAAAATTTTTTATAAAATTATTGTACACACAGTCGCTTTCTGTTTGTATAAATAAAAGATTCTAAATTTTTTATCATGTTTACGTCGGATACTAGATGCTCGGAATGTGACTACATCAAGACGTGATGCCAAACATTAAAAATTATACTCTATTCATATATATAAAAACATTCACATCGCTTGTTTAACATAATAAATGAGATATAAATTATTAGATAATATTCAAACGTTAATAATAATAAAAGAACATGTACATGTGAGACAGACGCGATTAAAGGTTAAGATTGGAATTATGATAAGGATAGAAAAATGACGGTAATTACGTTTGCGTGATAAAACACGGTCGGAACACTCCGTGAGATAATCTTCGACGTCGCGCCGATTCCGACGGGCAATGCCCGGAACAATGCCATCTCCTTTTATGCGCACTTTATCATGAATCCGTTATATTTCTCCGATTACTTTAATAATATCCGATAATGATTGCGTTCAGCCTTCAGGCAGTGATGCCCGTTTAACTCAGAGATGCAGGTTGGCTCCCGGTAGGGATGCGACGGTATAATAGCGTTTTCGGCCCGATCGGGTTTGCACCAACCTGGGTTGGATTAATCTTTCCTATTGGTTGATGTCACACGCTCTACCAATAGGAGAGCGCAAAACGCCATTAATCCAACCCAGGTTGGTGCAAACCCGGTCGGGCCGAAAACGCTATAAGACATCGAGAATAACGCCATCAGGTGGCGGCCTGATACAACCGATAGCAACACAAGCACGAGCCCGTGTCCGTGTGACTTGGTAGTTAGAAGATCGCCGACCTTTTCGTAGGGATAGGCGATATTTACAAAAGGATCGATTTTTTCAAAATCGATGAAAATTAAACTAATCGAAAGAATATCGATTATAAATCGAAAAAAATCGGGGATTCGATGAATCGTCTATTTTTTCGCATGAAAATATCCACAGACTTTTGCACATTTTACTAGATTGACTGGATTACTAATAATGCTAAGAGTGAAATCACGGGAGGATCCCGTTTGCCTACAGTTCTGATTGTACACACCACTCATATCAACTGGTGCCTAGTAATTTTTCACTGTTTTGCCGATGAGATTATTTTATTTTTAAATTAGCCAATCAGCGATACATGTGTGCAATATGCGATGGCTGTGTTCCAAAGTTGTTTGTCAGCGCTGCCAGCACGTCGTCATAAGTGCATGCTACCAATAGTGTTCCAATTTCATAAGCATGCTTTTCATGCAAACGCAGCTTTCATTTTGGAACGATATTTTCAGTACTGTCAGCATATAGCGACGTCAGCGAAAAGAAACAAGTAACCTAGAAATATGGAGAGAAGCACACAGAATAATAGTAATAGGCTGTGTTCCAAAATTGTTTGTCAGCGCTGCGAGCATGTCGTCATAAGTGCATGCTACCAATAGTGTTCCAATTTCATAAGCATGCTTTTCATGC